TGGCAAAGGGAAGAAGCGTAGAAGCACTGTGTGTCATGCTGAGTGAAAGTCCTCCCCTTCCCTTTTCCTGCCCCAGGGACTGCAGGAGCACATGGCCAGATGAGGCCTCCATCACCTGTGTCTGAGTGACTACAATGGGCCATAATTGCCACCCTGCAGTAAACATGTAGCATGAAGGAGGAATGAACTTTTGCTAGGAGCTGTTGGCATTGTTTGTTACTGCAGCATTACCTAGCCTAACCTGACTGGTGCTGTGTGTCTCGCCCTGGGCTAAGCGAGTATTTTACCACAGAGATTAAACTCTAGAGTTAGGGAGTCTGAGTTTCAGTGTGGGTTAGCTACTTTCTCACTTGTGTGACCTTGGACAAATCAGTGAACTTCTCTGTGCCTATTTCCCACATTTAGATAATGGGAATAATAATGGAAATCACCTAATAGGGTTTTTATGAGGATTAAACTAGGTGAACAACATAGCTCAGCACACAGCAAGTCCTCAAAAATGTTCGATGACGATGATCTCATTTAATTCTCACAACTCTATATAAGATTTGCTGATGCGTCAAGCCATTGAGTTTTGGCACTGTTACTGCAAGTAACAAGAGAAAGTTTTGAAATTAGAACCCAGCCCTGACCCATCAATCCACTTTTCAGGCATACTTCTTCTATGTCCCTGGAAGCTGTCCAGCTCCAGTGTGCCGCCACTTCTCATTCTGTCCTCGTTTGCTCTCTAGAGGGCTCATTGACTTGCTCAACGCTCCCAGTGACCAAATCCACGAAAAAGATTCCCCTCAAGCAGAGACTCACAGCTACAGCCTCTAATCCTGATCTCTCCATCAGAGACTGTCTTGTGCTCTCGCCTAAAAGGCAGGCCAGGAGCCAGACACACATGGGATCCATTTGATTCCCATCTGCACCAGGCTCACCACTTAGTCTGCCAAAGCCAAATGATTTATTCAAACCATTTTTTAAAAGAATTGATGCGCAAGGTAAAAATAATCCGAAGATGCAAAAGGGTATAGAGAGATGTCTTTTTCCCACCCTGCTCTCCAGATTCCCAGTTCCCCTCTCCAGAGACTACCATGGTGACCCGTTTTCTCAAAGTGGGTTTTTAAGTCAGCTCCTTGTTTCTATCTTTGGCTGCACCACTCCTGGGGCTAATATCCTTCCTGTCCTATAGCTGCACCCACTGCTCTCTCCCACCAGCAGCACCTCCTTCTGGTCTCCTAATCCTGCACATTCTGCTACATCTGCTCAAGCCATCTTCTCCAGGAAGAACTTTTTAGCAGTTCCAGCTGTTACTCTTCTCTCTTCTTTTTGACAACAGTACTATTTCTGTCACATATTTGAACATTTTGTCGTATCCATTTATCAGGTGTTCATTTCTAATTGCTTGGTGTGGGCCACCCTCCCTTCCCCAACCAGCCTGAAGGTTGATTGTCTATCCCCAAAGGCTTCTACTACCGCTTACACCCTGATGACTCCCAAATCCACTCTCCTGAGTTTCAGACATATTTCCAGTTGAAGCTAGGCATCTTCACAGTTGTCCATATGGGAATGTCCAACACGGAATTCTTGCTTTTGGACCTTAACTTGCCCTACTTCCCAGATCTCCTCTCTCAATGAATGGCATCAACATCTATTTAGTCATCCAAACTTGAAACTTCAGTCACCTAAACTCCAACACCCCTCTGTGCAGCCCTCTCCCCCTCCCCCCCACCAATCCAGGAGGATATGTGCATGGGAAGACAGGAGAAAGAGAATTACAAGCCCTGTCAATTGTATATTAAAATGGCTCTTGAATCGGCCCTTTTCTCTACACTCCCTTGGTTAGGCTCCTACCACCTCTTGCCTGGTTTACAAAAATGGCCTCCAAATCGGTCTCCCTCCTTACAGCCTCTTCTCCCTTCCAATTCATCTTCTCTTCTCAAGTCAATGTCATCGTTTTAAAGGACAGATGTAATCATATCACCTTCCTGCTCAAAAACTTTTCAGGGTTTCCCACTTGCGTGCTTGCCCCCCCCCCGGACTCACCTCCTGTACTCCTCCCCAACACTCCCACTGTGACTATCCCCCTACACCTCTCAAGTTCAGGTAAGGTGACCACCTGCCATTCTCCAGACAGGTTGTTGAAAATTCCCCCTTTTTCTTGGTGATTTTACTGTTTAAAATTTTACTGCCCAGGGCTGGCTGAGTGGCTCAGTTGGTTAAGAGCTCTCTCAAGAGTGCAAGCTCTGAGCAACAGGGTCGCCGGTTTGATTCCCAGCCCGAGCTGAGCTGCCGCTGAGTTGCCAACAGGTGGCAGGATAGCTCAGGTATAAATATATATATATATATATATATATATATATATATATATATATTTTACTGTCTAGTGTTTTTAAGCTCAAGAAGGGTGTGCTGTACCTTATGGGGAAAAAATATGTGTGTTAGATAAGCTTCATTCATGCTGATAGCTATAGCTACAGGTTATTGTGCTGTTGGCTATTAGTGCAATGTTAATGTCAACAATATGTATTAAACAGGTGTCTTTAAACAGAAGCACACATAACACAAGGGTATATATTGATCAGGTGATGAAAATGTTGTGACCAGAGGCTCTCAGGAACCTATCACTGTATTTTCCTCAGGAGCAATGATTCAGTATTCGCTAATTCAGTATTCATAGTGACTTTATACAATGTAACTACTGCAAATAACAAGAATCAACTACATTTAAATGTTATATAACTCACAGCAAGAATGAAAACTCAGTGAGGGCAGAAACTTTGGCTATGCCGGAACAATGCCTGGCACATAGTAGTTCTCAATAAATACTCAACAAATGAATGAATGAGTGAGTTAGGAGACACTTTGTCTGGACCTTAGATGATGGAGAAAATTGCATCTTTATTTTTATCACTCTTGAACTGAAATTAGACAGTTTCTTCAATCATGAATATAGGCAACAAATCACAGTAAAATTACCAATATTTGTGACAGTCACAATAGAAATCACTGGTCTTTTCAGATCTCAGTACAGTTGTAGATACTTGAAATATCGTTTCACACACATCAATATGTCACATTATAGTAGGTACTTTGCCCACCAGTAAATATCATTATTTTAATGTTAATACAGAAACATTTTTACACCACATATTTTAATAATTGTATTTGAGAATAATTGGTTTCCTTTGAAATCCTGTGGTTTTCATTTTCTGCATTTAAAACATTCTAGGAAGAGATCCATAGGTCTCCCCAGATTATGAAGTAGGTCCATGACACAAAGGAGTTTAAGAACCTTGGTCTACTTCAGGTCAAAGCCACATTCAGGTCACATGTCCAGGGTCACGGAGCTGCTTAGATAGCAGAACTGGTGGTGTCCACACCCAAATCTCCCCGCAAGTAGGACCAAAGAGGGGACCTCCTCATTCTGGGGGCTCCTCCACAAAGACACTCCTCTGTGCATCCCCTCAGACATCTGGAAGCGCTCTGGCTTCAAGTTTCCAAGGCATTCCGTAAAGTGTCTCAAGCACTGACCACGTGCAGAACCTTCTAATCAGGACTGGAGGGCATTGCTCTTCCAAGAGTGGCTTGAAAACTGTTACTGGCCAAAGATGAGAAAAGTACAGAAATTAAGAGTAAAGATTTAGAAACCTTTCCAGCAATTTGAATCTAACCATAAAATAACAAAGGCTTATAGTTTGTATGTCTTTGTTTTTTAAATTTCATTTTAGTTTACATAATCATCAGTCGGCAATGGATTGGAAATTTTCACGAACAAAAAAGTGCTGGTCTTTCCTTTACACAGAGTTTGAGAATTACCATCGTGGCGCAATGCAGTGGATAGAGAGTAGGGAAAGAGACATGGATACAGCTGGACCAGTGCTCTGAAAAACATGAATAAAATGCTGGACGCAGCAGCACACCAGGCTAGTAGAACTGAAGAAGGCAGTAGGGGGAGGAAGCAATTGAGTTTTTGACCAGTTTTGACCAGTGTTTATAGGTGAAGATGATGCCTTCCAGGGTGTTTCAGACAATGGGCTCAGCAGGGGCTAAGGCAAAAGTGCAGAGTACAAGATGAATCATAGAAGGTGGTCATCAGGCACCACGGGGCCAAAGCCTGTGTATGTCTGCGGTGAGTGGGAACAGGGTATCGTGGCAAAGCAACCTGAAAGGGCTACATAAGTAAATCATGATGGCTTTGGACACATGCTAAGGTTTGGGGCTTTTTCAGTAGGCCTTGAAGAACTGTGGACCTATTTTGAGCAGGGGATGAAATAATTACATCTGAGTTTTAAATAATAATATTTGTTGAACCACAGTAAAATTTTTAAATTCTCAGGCACTGAATCTTTCAGAGAAGATAATTTCCCTCTTCTATCAGAATGTGCACACACACGAAGATTGATTTCCATGCCCAGATGGACGCGGGCAAGGATGTGCATGAATGAGGAATGCTCTCGAAAACCAATTTGCCTCTCTTTTCCTCCCCTTCCCTCTCCTCCCCTGCCCTCCCCTCCCCTCCCCTGTCCTCTCCTCTCCTCTCTTTTCCCTTCTCCTTTCTTCTCTTTTCTCTCTTATTCTCTATCACTTAGCACTTTCCAATAGCTCTTTCTGTGAGGATGAAATGGCTTACATCTGCACTGGTAGTCACGAGCCACATGTGGTCATGGAGTCCTTGAAATATAACTACTGTGGCTGAGACACTGAATTTTAAATTTTATTTAATTTTAGTTAATTTCTATTTAAATAGCCACATGTGGCTACTGGCTACCATATTTAAAAGTGCGGTGACCTTTTACTACAATGAAAACACAGAAGGAAAATATGGATGCCAAGAAGTCTTCAGACAGGCCGTCATGGCATGTAAAGCTGGAAATGAGTCCTTCTGCTTTTAACCCAAATATGTATGTTTTAACTTATTTGTATCCAGAGCGCTTCTTGAAAAGAGTCCTGGGAGCCAGGAGCTTGGAGTTCTCACCTGATTTTCACGTGTTATCTTAGACAGGTCACTGCCAGGGAAAGGACAAGAACTAACATCCATGGAGGCATGGGGGATTACGCATTTTTTACAGATGACCACATTTGAATATCACAGCAAACCTGTGAAATAACATTTTTATTCCAGTATTACAGATGAGGGAAAAGAGACTTAGAGAGGTAAACAATTTGTCACCCAGTTCGTGAGGTATAGAGAAGGTATTTAGATATTTAGAACGAGTTCTAAGACCAAAGCTCTTTCCACTGTAGCTGTGTGCTTCCCTAAACTCTCCTCATCACCAACAAGATAGGACTAGCAGTCCTCATGCTGTCTACCCTCAGAACAAAGGTTCAAAGGACCTTGAAATGCTGACAGGACAAATTGGCTGAGTGTCCTCAAGGGAGGGAGGCGATGTTTTCTAAGACTACAAACAAAGATGGTTCAGTTTCTGAGATGGTTCTGCACCCTCACTGATATTGAAAATACTTAAAATTTTCCATTTAGAAATGCCTGAGGCCAGGCCTGTTTCAATCATGTAAAAACCAATATCAGTTTGGAAAGGTTATCACGGCCTTTCCAATAACAGTCAACATTAAAAATGTAAATGTTGGCTTTTTAAATATAGCCTTTGGCCACCAGTGTTCAAGACATAAGGTAAACCACAGCGGGCAGCGTCTCCCACCGAGGGCTCAGAGGGAAGGAGACAGAGGTCGTGCTGAGCGTCCGCGTCACACCAGGCTGACGGGACCACGTCCAGCCCCATGGAGTTCTGGGTCCTCAGAGGTTTTAGTCACCAAATCAGACATCCCTTCATTGGGGGATGTCTTTGTTTTTGCCTTCCGTACCTAGCCCAGTGCCTGCTTCAGGGTAAGAGCTCAAGAGTATTTTTGAACAGATAAATTAATTCATTCATCACATATTTTTGGATATTCTATCAAGTCCTGGCACTGTGCTACACAGAGAAATTGATGTAGAAACAGGCCATTTGGGAGAAACAACCCAAGTAATTTACTAAGAAGGATGATAAGATGTGCAAATGAATAATAATAACATAAAATAATACCAGATTAACCTTACCGCAGTATTAATCCTGGAGTCTGTTAACAAAAGGTGTGTGAAAATGTGCCAGAAGAAGATGGCTGGACATCGGGATTCGGGATGATCTCAGAGTAACTGGGCAGTGAGATCGTCAACGGGAGCTTCTTGCACGAGGTGCCAGAAACCATTCCTGGGGTGCACTCAGGTCCATGGGGGTCTCCTCCACTCAGACTGCAGGCTCCGTGTGGGCTGGCCTGTGTCTTATTTAACTCTGCACCCCAATACCTCACATGGGGCCTGACACATAGTAGGAAACAACATATGCTAAATAAATGAATGAATAAATGTTAGGAACCCACAAGGAACTGTAAGAAGTATTTATTGAGAGTTTTGTATGTAACATTTTATATACATCTTCTTAATTAATTATAACCACCAGCATGCAGCCAGGAGACAGAAACCACAGCAGTTACGTGAGAGAACTGAATGTAAAGGATTGTTAACTAGGTAACTGAAAGGGTAAGATGGGAACGACAAGGTAAGACGGAGATAGCAGCTGCAGAAAACAACTATGACCTTAGGGATGAGGAACCACGTGGGGAAAAGTTAGAATTATTAAAATTTAGAGGTTTAGTGGATAGACCCTGTGACCTGAAACTCAGCTGGACTGTGCTGATGCTTCTGACTGGATGTAATGAAGCTAATTCTGTGTAGAAAACCTGCAAACTGGCTTCAGCTATTGCTATGGGGAGTTCTGGCTGCTGCTAGAGTGAAGAGGCATTGTTGGGGTGATGCTCATAGGTACCCAACAAACTCCTCTTCATCCTTTAAGATCCAATTCAGATGTCACCTCCTCTGAGAAGCCTTCCTGATCTCTTCCTTCAGACAGGAAACAAGCTTTGTCTTCCCCCTTCAGCTTTGCCACCCCTTCTAACACCTCCACAGGCAGAACTTCAGATGGAGCCAACCAGCGGAACATAAATGTGATTTACAGAGGCCCAGCCCATCATCACAAAGCAGAGCACAGAAAGGTTTTAGAGCTGAGATATCATGGCATCATAAGTGGTATAGGAACCTTCTCTTCAATGCTGTGATGCAGGTACTGTTATTACTCCCACTATACAGATGAGAAAACCGAGGGCTTAGAGAAGTCAAGGTGACTTGCCTAATAAGTTGGTATGGCAGTGCCCTGATTTGAAGCCAAGTTCATCTACTCTTAATGGCCGTACTATGCCAAGTTTCCCTCCTATTATTACGTGAAGAAAGTGTCAGGGAATAGAACAGATTTGAAGTCCCAGTGTTGTTCAGTTGGCAGCTGGAGGTGAGGTGGGGTGGGGGATTCAGGAATTACATGTAACAGCAAAGAAGCAGGTGTGAGGCAGTCCTGACAAATGCCTCCGAAGGTGCCATTTTAATTTCAAACTTTACTGTCCTTTAAGAAAGTTGAGATCTTTACTCTTCAATAAAAAATTAGCCACCCAACAAACTCCTCTCCATCCTTCAAGATCCAGCTCAGATGTTACCTCCCCTGAGAAGCCTTCCTGATCTCTACAGAGCCAGTCATGCCCCCGCGGTGCTCCCACAGAACTTGGTGCACACACCTGGGTGGAGTTTATGTATCTATATGCCACACTAGATTGTGGGCCCCTTGAGGGCAGACCTGGGTCTGTATAGATTCTGTCTGATACTCAGTGTCGAGTGATAATTATAAAGGTTGTTTCTTCCAGAAGTGTGCTTCCATTGGGAGCACTGGCAATTTCAGGGCCATATTTTTTTACTCATTCTCTACCTTCCAGAAGTTCTCAGTCCAGTGGTGAAGATACGTTGAAAATACACCGAAAAACCAACCCCCCAGCTTTAGCCCTTCATCGTTCACCTTTTCCAATCCGTTCTTCTCACTTCAGTCAGGTGCAAACATAACCACCCGAAGCCCCTGCTAACACCTTCCAAAGGTTTCCCACTTTTTTTAAGATAAAGACTAACTCCTTGACATTGTTGCCTAGGTCCTCCAACATCTGTTCCCTGCCCCTCTCTGCCCCAAGTCTCACCACTCGCCAGCCCCTTTCCACCTCCTTCTACTCCATCCTCCATTTACTGAACCTTTTCTAGTTCCCAAACTCACCAAGCTCTTTGCATCTTGGTCTTTGCAGGTGGGTTTCCTCGATCCAGGACCCTCTTTTCTTGCTTTTCTTGCTCCCTTTGCCCAAGTCACTCCAGCTTATCTTTTAGGTCTCAGCTGCTGAGTCACTTCCTCCAGGAGGTTATCGGCAGGGTAATTTGATGCTCCCGGAGCAGCCTGCTCCTGATCACGCCTCTTATCCACGGAATTGTAATGGCCTGCGTTTGCTCAGAAAGAGAGCTCCCTGGCACACGGAAGGTGCTCTGTAAAATAGATTTGAATTAATTAATTAAAAAGTTAAAAACAAAAAACCAGGAGATTTTGGAAGTCACGGGATGCCTAACACGTGGTGACATAACTCTTTCCCAGTGTCAATCAAGGGCCTTGTGAAAAGAGGACCTCTGGAATGGGGGACAGTGCTCTGAGTCTGGAGTCAGGAGATCAGGGTTGGAGCCCCGATGATTTGGGGGGCAGCTTGTTTGTCGTTGTGTTCATTTTTATCCATTTCTGTGATAGGTATTGTAGGGGAGGAAAACAAACTTTTCCTTTACTCTCCTAGGCTTTGTAGCTGAGGCTCAGGAAATTAAACTGACAAATTACAGGTTAAAAGATTAAAAACAGTGTATGAATGCATGCAGCATGCATGCACATGCATGAGAAACTCAATGATGAATAACTCAAAGAAGTGGTTAGAACGTGGGCTTATATAGCATCTTTTTCTTTTTTTTATTTTATTTTTGTTGGGGAACAGTGTGTTTTTCCTGGACCCATCAGCTCTAAGTCAAGTAGTTGTTTCTCAATCTAGTTGTGGAGTGTGTTTTTCCAGGATTCATCAGCTCCAAGTCAAGCAGTTGTTTCAATCTAGTTGTGGATGGCGCAACTCAGTGGCCCATGTGGGCATCGAAATGGCAACCTTAGTATTATAAGCACTGCTCTCTAACCAACTGAGATAACTGGCTGCCCTGCTATATAGCATCTTAAAGAAGAACAGTAAATTTATAGAGCAGTGATAAGACAAAGAAAAAGAGATTTAAGCTTTTAGGGACTGAAACCTGTGGGGAGGTAAATATATGGGGAAACTAATGGAAGATAAAAGCTATTTAAGTAAGGTATGTTATGTAGATTCCTCTCGGTGCCATTGCTGGACAGGTAAGAGTCTAGAGTTGTCTCCTGCAATTAGGAGTCTAAGAGTGGTCCTCCTGGGTCCTCCTCTTCCTGGTACAGGAGGGGGAGATACCTTTACAAATGGAAATTTATGTTCTGCTTTTAGGCAAATAGGGAACAAGGGCAGAGCGCTATGTTTTAGGTGCCTGCTGTTTCTTAATTGTCTTTAGCTCAAAATAATCCTTATGCCAAAGTGGCACATCTTTGGGTAGCATAGTCTGGTCCCCTACAATCTAAAAATGCCTGTCCTTCCCAACACACAAGGTTGTGATGGGATGGTGCATGTGGGAACTCTGTGCAAACTGTAAAGTGCTGTGCAAATGTCAAGCATAGCCATCTCCATGAATATCATCTTTAGGAGACAACCCAGGCCATAGCGGTGGAAGCTTTATTCAGTCCAAACCCAGGCCTTAAGCCTTCCTTCTCTTTCTCCCCCAGGGCCAAACTGAGGCTTCTTACAGAGAAGACACATCAAAGACCCAACTGAGGGTTTTTATAGTTCGACATTGTACAAGCTTCCTTCTTAAGAGATAAAGAATCTGGAGGAAACATGGGGAAGCTAATCTCCGCTTCCTGCTCTCCAGCCCCGGCCCCCCATGCCTGACTTCTTTAGGAGGAAGAGTTGCAGGCTGCTCATGACTTTTATTTGTGTCATTCATGATCCCCCCGCCCACTGTTTCTCCTAGACACATCTAATAAAAAGGACCCAGTGCAGCCCATCGTCCCAGCCGCCCCCCCCCCCCCCGGGAAATAAATCAAAGGACAGAGCTCATTAAATATTATCCAGCCACAAGAATGGGACATTCCAAAGAATTAAAATCCTCCTGGAACTGACTCCTTAACAAGGCAAAAGACATCCATGGAATCAACATTAATGTACCTACTACATGGTATTTAACATGTTTTGCATCACTTAAATCTTACATCAACTATCCTCACTTTTATGGACAAGTAAATTGGGGCTCAGAAAGGTTTTAGATGGATGCATGGAGGGATGGATGGATGGATGGATGGATGGATGGATGGATGGATGCTTGGATGGATGAGAGCATGGCTGAATAGGTGGATGGGAGCGTGGGTAGGTGGGTGGATGAGTAGATGGATTAGAAGCTTGTTGCCTGAGTCAAGAGAGAGTGCTTGCATCTCCCCCAGAAAGGCAGAGCTGTCACACATGTTTCATGTTGAAGCTCCTTGCAGAAAAGGGCTGTGCCTATCAGTTAGTAGGTCAGTGCAAGACAAGGCCATGCTTTGGCAAAGCTGTTCCCTGGACTTAAGATTATAGAGAGGGTCTTTCAGTTTTTAGTTGTATCTTTGGAGTCAGAAGAATCTGAGTCTTGGGGCCAGCTGAGTGGTTCAGTTGGTTAACAGTGCGAGCTCTGAGCAACAGGGTCGCCAGTTTGATTCCCACATGGGCCAGTGAACTGTGCCCGAGCTGAGCTGCTGCTGAGCTGCTAATATGTGGCAGGATGGTTCAGCTGGTGAGAGCACGTGTTCCTAACAACAAGGTTTCTGGTTCAACTCCTTCATGGGATGGTGGGCTATGCCTACCCGCGACTAAGATTGAACACAGCACCTTGAGCTGAGCAGTTGTGCACCGCCCATGGGCAGCTGGATGGTGACTGGACTTAGAGCTGAACTAGCTGCGCCCTCCACAACTAAGATTGAAGGACAACAACTTGGTTGTTCCCCTTCCCCAATTAAAAAAAAAAAAAAGAAGAAGAATCTGAGTCTTGGCTCCACCGTTTATTTATTGTGACCATGGACAAAGCACTGAACACCTCTGTGCTGTTTCCTTGTTTGTAAAATGGAGAACTCCCTAACTTCATAGGTCTATGAGGCTTAAATGATGCCACTCAAATATAAATATTTGTTAAGTGTTTATAACAAATATTTGTGTTAAATATAAGTTTTTTTTTCTCCTCTCTGTCCCCTAGACAATGTAAAACCCATTGCAGAGAGGAAGTAAGAGTGGTAGGAATGACTCTGAAGGAGGAAAAGTCCAGATGTGTCTGAGTTGCCCTGGAGCAGGCCTGGCTGTACTCCTCTGGCGTTGAGAAAAGAGTAGTTTCTGCCCAGGTAGCAAATGAGGAAATGAGTTTTCCTCTATTGTGGGTAAAGTCCCTTTTTTTTTTTTTACTGATAGAAGAACAGGTAGAGAGAAGTGTGTGGGGATAAGAGGGACAGAGTGGGGAAAGGGTTAAAGACGCAAAACAGTCAGTAGGCAGGTTTTCTTTTCCTAGCTCATCCTTAAATAAGAATGCAGAAAAAAATATATTCCTTGATTGCTTCAGAATGGGCGTGTGTGCGGGTGCGTGTGTGTACATGCACACACACTTGTGTGTATGGGTGTGTGAAAAGGAATGGGTGTGAGTGTGTGCATGTGTTGCTACGTAGGAAGTGTAAGAAGGGGGTGTGGATTGTGGAAGGGTGTGAGGAGGGGCGTGGGTATAAGGTGTGTAGATGTGGGTAGGTATATGAGGAGGGGAGTGGGTGGGGAGGAAAGGTGGGGAGTTGGGGTGTGGGGTGTGCATGTACGTAGTCACGCTGAAGGGATGGGCCTCCATAAATGCATAAAATCACATATGTCTAGCACTATTAATAAGCTCTTCCTCACTGGAAATTTATAAATAAGTTCATTTTCCATCCATTCACTCATTCATGTTTTTATCATCAACACCGACCTACAGTGAAAAAACAAAAAATTGAAATCTCTGAAGAGCTTACAATCTTTTTGGACAAGGTAAGACACAGACGAGTTTAAATAACAGCAATGAACATGTTTGTCACATACCAGGCACTGTTCTGAGCACTTTCTCTGTGTATTATATGATTAATTGCTCCGCACAACCTTACATGACAAGTCCTATAGTGACTCGCATTTAACAGGTGAGCAAACTGAGGCCTGGGGCAACTGGTCTAAAGTCACACAGCTTGTGAGTGGAGCTGGGATTCCAATGCATGCAGCCTGGCTCCTGAAAAATGTGCTCTTAAGTATCATGTCAAGTGTATACCACCTGTTCCCAGCTGACCTACAAGGGTCAGCCTGATGTCCCTTATAAAGGGCTGGCTGCCAGGGACCCACTGCACTAGGTCCACTGCTGTGCCCAGTCTCTTTCCTCATCCTTCTCCCGACATCTCCTACCCTATGTCTACTTCTCATGTTGCCCCAAGACTAGGCAAAGGGGTACAGAGAGACCAGTGTAAACTTTAGGGCCCGTCTTCCTCCCTGCCCACCAGATCTGGAGTGGGGCTACTGGTCCCATGGCGGTCTTCACCCCAAAGGCCCCCCTCCTGCTGATCCTGGGAGGCTATGCCCACCACAGCCACCACAGTGGGGTTGCTGGGCCTTGGGCCCATGGAGGGGTCTGACTTTAGTTCTCGGGGTCATAATAACATCACCATCCACAGAGTTCTCACCAGTGACAAAAACAGGCTCAGGTGCTTTAGTACATTAGCTCTTTCCGTTTATTCCCCACAACAGTCCCTTGAGGCGAGGATTATTAGCCCTTATTTACAGGCCTCAGAGATGCCAAGTAGCCGGTTCAAACGGTGGTGCTGAGAGGACAGGCTGTCTGACCTCATGCCGGTATGCTGAGGTCTTTCCCTCTCCTTACAGGGTTCCAAGTAGAATGAAGAGTCGCTCCTGATTCTTTCCACTATGCGGTCAGGGAGATTAGGTGGGTGGCGCTCCGTTCTAAGCCACCTTCCACCCCTGAGAGTCAGGCTGGAGGGCAGGGCAAGTGTGCTAGCCTGACAGACCAAGAGCACTCTGGAAATAACTCACCTCAGGTAACCAAATGGAGGCCCATGCAAAGTAAGGCCTGCTGCCTCTCCTTGACTTCACCCCAGCCTGTCATTCCCCTCACACACATATGTGCTTGTGCCTG